ATATTTCATCAGTTATAACTCTCCCAGTAAAGGCTCTTCAGAAGTTTTTTTGAAGAGCCTTTTTTTTTTAAATTAGTAGAAACAACTTTTTCATTTTCAACATTGTTGAAATGAAAAATTTGTTGAAAATGAAAAATTTGTTTCTACTAATTTATATTTATACAGTAATAAAATTTTATGTCATATAATAATACATATTTCATTTGTTAATATCTTTAGTTGGAAAAATCTTTTTAAACTCTATTGTTAATTTGTGAATAAAAAAAATATTCATTCAGGTAGGTGTTTTTTAGTTAAATTATCTTTTTTTATTATATTAAATAACTAAAAAAAATTTCTTTTTCTTTTTTAAGGAGTTGCTATTTTAAATATAAATTATTTGTGTTCCACAATTTCTTTATCACAAACATTTTGCTTAAGTCTCTATATGTTGCATCATTTTAAATTTTTTTGTTATCCTGATTTATGTGTGACATCAAATAGAAATAATGCAGTCAAGGTACATAGCATTTCCATTCCAGTGAGTCAAAAAAGGAAATTTAAAAATGATTATTTTTTCAATTTAGAAAAAAAAGGAAATTTCAATTTAGAAAATGGAATAAGATACATGATATTTTGATTATCCAAAAGTAAAATTAAAAAAAATAAAAAAAGTAAAAAATAAAAAGGAGACAAATTTTTTTCTTTATTTTTTAATTATTCAAACTTCACAATAAATATAAATTTTTTTCAAGAGAAAAAACAAAAGTTCTTATTTCATGTGCTTATGATGTTTAAAGTTGATTTCATTGCTTATATTTTTTAATTCTTAAAGATATTGATTTCTTTTAATATTCCATTATTATAAATCGCAACTAATTATTTTGGAAGTATCTTGAATTTTATGCCAAAATAAACAGCGTTTTGAATTTCTGTGCGTGACTTAAAATATCTAATTATTTGGAAAAATAATTGTTATAAAATTTCAATGAAACTGATTTTTTACTATGTGTATTTTCACTGAATTGAATAGCAATAGTGTTTTTTTTTCTTCTATGACGTTTTAGCATTGTTTTTTTTTGCATCGTGCACAAACATCATGCATTGACAAATATTTATCTGTGCGTGATAATTAGTTTCTTTAGCTTTGTAACATTTGAATTGCATATTTGCTGATTAATTAGTTTGAGTACAGTTTAGTTAGATTAAAAAAAGTTTAAAAGAATTTAGAATTAAAATGAACAAAGTTAAGCATTCAATTGTTCAGAAAATATTTATAAAGAAACATTCTGAATATTGGATTGCTGAAACTTGTAGAATGAAAAATAAAAGAGCTAACATGAACAACAAGGAAAAGAAGGAAGTGCGTCAAAAATATTGTGAAAGAAAGAAGCAAAAGTGAGAGGTAAACCAATCTACATCTGATATTTAGCAGTCCTTTTTATCTTCACAGAGTTTTGGAAAGACACTTAAAAAAATTAGTTTAGCATTACCTGCCGATTCAAACAAAAGGAAATGCCTTTTAAAAGAAGTTTGTAAATGTGAAAATATACTATGTTATGATATTTCAGAATCAGGCCTCGACTATGGCGGTTTGAACAATGTTAATTGCAAAGTTCTTGTTTTTTATTTGCAAGAAGATATCAGTAGAATGGTTTCAGGTCGCAATGATGTTGCTATTATTATTAAAACAAAAGAGAAGGTATGACATCGTTTACATGTAGAAATCTCATTTTATTTAATAAGGTTTTCAGTCATTATTAGACCATAGGAGAAGCATATCCACTTTTTAAAAATGAACATATTAATTTAAAAATGGGGAAATTTTACGAACTGCGACTATTCTATTTCAAGCTGGTAAGCGATCTTCCCCACGCTGTTTTCCTTTGCATTTACCATGAAAATTTCAGATGATTAATGAATGCCATTCAAAAAAAATTTGATTTGTCAGACTCAGATGACAGATCTGTGTGTAATCAAAACAGCAAATCTTGCATGTTTATGGAATGTAAAGCAAACTGTCAATTGGCAAAGTTTGATGAATATGTTTCTAATGTAGTTGACTCATTTGGTGATGATTCAAACAAACAGCTCTTTATTTTTGACTAATGGTCCCCAGAAAATCTTACAACCACTAACGTCTCTGTTATAAAAGTGTATATTGTTGGATTAGCAATTGCCAGATTATATACGTCATGTGTATATAAAGCGACAACAAAGTGCATAATTTTGTTTATGTTGCTAAAATGTATTAGAAAATGAATTGATTATACAAGTAAGTAAAATTGTAATTTCATTTGTAGTACAATAACTAAATTAATAATTTTGTATCAACTTTTTTGGTAAATTTATAAAGTAACTATTCATCCATTTATATTTTTAGTTCTTCTAAAATTAGATAGATGTGATAAAATTCTTCTAAAATTAGATTAGATGTGAAAATTATACCATAATGGAGCAGGGTAAAATTCAATTCGCTTACTGGTTTTATTAGCAACTAACAGTATACACTGCTGCAATTTGTAGTAAGAGCAATACACATTCTTATGCCATCTGATAGTTTACTTCATGATTAATATGCTGTCTTGTTCATTATTAAACAATTTTTGTAAATACCAGTTTTTTACAGATGATCTTTCATCACAATTCACAAATTCATATGTCATGACAGCCATGAATAATTTTTATAAATTGTCATCTGCTCTTGTTGAGATTTGTTGGTCATTTTTTGCAACATCACATGGAAAGAAGACAGTTGATGGCATCAGTAGAGAAATAAAAAGAATGGTTTAGATAATAAATTTTGAAAAATAATATTGTGTCAGTTTTAAAGATTTTGTGAGCATTGCAAGTAAGAAAATACCAAAATTAATGTTAGTCATTATTTAGAAAAAAGACTAAAATATGAAAGTTGTAGATATGAAACTTTTGATTATTACATAATCTTTTTTTTAGAACACATCGATTACAAATGAGTGGATTACCGCAAACCTAAGTAAGATCAATAAGGCTCTAAAATAAATTTAAAGTTTCTAAGATAAATTTAAAGTCAAAGGTATTTGTTGCCAATACTCTTTTCTTTTTAATGTTGATTGTGCTTTGGTAAATTATTGCTAAATGTCCATATGAAAGTTACAAATTTAATACTATTTTCCCAGGTTTATTTGTCTTTGTAGAATTGCGTTCCGCTGGTAGAGCGAAGTCATACCTTGCCAAAATGTTAGAAGTTATTAATAAACTGGCACATATTAGGTTTCTAAAAGAACAAAACGAACTCATTTTTATATATCCATCTGTAGACGACTTCTTCTGGCATCGCTTAAGTGAGTTAAAACCATTAATACCTCAACCACACTTTGATAACTGTGGATACTTTATTATTCTGCCGAAGTGTTACAACTAAACTTAATTTAAAAAATTTGATGTTATAATTTTCTTACCTTTAATATAATGTATTAACTATATATAATACAACCCTCGGAATCAGGGTCGGCATTCGGCAATGCTGACCTAACTGCCAACCTGAAAGTGTTTGAGGTTAGCGAAAAATTGCCGACCTCCTTTCTATGTTTTATGGTCAGACCTTTGTATCAAATAATTTTTGCCGACCTGAAGCCGACCTTAAAATGATTGAGGTTGGCAAATTATTTCCGACCTCATTTTTCCTAATTCCGAGGGTTGATAATACATTATTTATCTTTTATATACTATATTAAAATAAAGTTTTTTAATTTATTGTAAATTTAATATAATTAGTATTGATATATATATATATGTGTTTTATGATCCTCATAATCGATTTATTTCTAAAAGTACAATCCTAAAATGACAAATGTTTGCATGTTCTGTTTGTTACTTTTTTTTTTGTCTGTGCGTGATTTTGGTTCAAATCATTATTGTGGAGCAAAGACACATCTTAAAATGCTGTCACTTTGTAATAATCTTCATAATTGCTTGTATAATTACCTATAAAAAACAAAACACATGTCACTGATACATTTTCAGAAAAATAGGGTTCATTTATTATTTCTTTTTTTTTTTGCTTTTTTATGTTCCATGGGAGACTCCATTAAAAAATTAATTTATTCTATAATCAAGCGACTCATAGCTTCCATACTTTGTATAGGAAATATATACATAAAAATATATCTTTTTTGAACTTCCTTTATATTAACATTTGTTTAATATCATTGATATATTAAACTTTGTCATTATCTTAATCATTGATATATTAAACTTTGCCATTATTTCAAGGATTCTAATTAATTTCAGCATTACAAAACATACTAAGTTACTGCTCTCCTTTATCAAACTTTATAATTAGTAGCATTAGCCTGCAACTAGCTCTCTGCTACTTTTTGATATATATATGGAATGATATTAATTGATGGTTTTTTAAGTTATTAAGTTGCTCCCAGAAGAACCACACATACAAAAGAACATGAAAATTTATTGTAAAACACTTTTACACTAAATTTAATTAGTAGTCTCATGTTAATATTAAACTCCTAATGCAGTTCAAACATGCCATCTGCGAAAAACTTCCTAGTTTGAGCTTCTTTTAACTCTTTGACACTTGACTCCTTGAAATTGTTTCAATTGTTTTAATTGTTGAAATAACCATTAAACAACTGCAATTAAAAGAACCATTAAATAAAGTTAATTTTAAAAACTGGTCTTGTTTTTCATTCTGCTGGAAAGCAGCATATGTTATCCCTATTTTCAAACTGTACCAGTTAACTTGAAGCAGAAATATTTTACATGAAGAAATTTCAAGTGACTAAAGTATCAATAACTGTGAAACACAAAAACCAACATCACCTAATTCTCTAAATTTATCATTCACTAATAATTGTGGTCTTCCAAGTTACTTTTTATCTGTTGAGTCTTATCTATTGCAAAGTTCACCAGACCTACCTGCTCTTTGTGAGCTGTTGTCTTTAGCTGTTTCATTTTGTGATCTTAGTGTTGATGGTTATCTTTTTTTAATTTGTAAAGACTCTAATAGTCACATGCTTGGTCTAGGCATTTATATTTGTAAAAATTCTTCCATTTGTCAGGAAACGAGGTTTCAATCCACAGACTAGTTTTTCATGTGCTTTTGTTTAGCACCACTTCACTCTATTGTATTTCTCTTTGTTCTATATCATTCTCCTTCATCTCAAGATTTCACTCTTTTTGATATTATTTCTGATCTAATTGACCAAGCTCTTTCTCTTTATCCTTCAGCCAATATTGTTGTTTTTTGGTGACTTTAATGCTCATGCCACTGAATGGTATGGTGCTAGTGTCAGTGACTCTGCAGGCATTTAGGCCTACAACCTTTTTCTTTCTATAACAACAATAGTCCACTTTTCAACTTGCATTCGAGACAACCTAAATCATTTACATTCTCTACTTGACTTGTGTCTTGTTTCTGATCATAGTCAGTGCTCAGTTTCTCCATATTCACCTTTAGGTGAATATGGAGAAACTGATCTTTCTAAAACTATTATCTCATTCTTTTCAATTATCAGAAAACTCCTATCATTGTTCCTTTTACAACTAACTTAATGCTGACTGGGACTCTTTCCGTGATTTTTTTTGTGATGGCCCATGATGGGTAGAAATCTTTTGTCTTCCTGCTAAAAAATGTGCTTCTTATGAAACTTCTTGGATTCAGGTTGAAATGGAATCTTTTATTTCCTCTTGAAAACTTCAAGTCAAGCCTCACTCTTCTCCACAGTGTTCCTCTCATTGTTTTGCTGCAGTTTTCTATTGTAACCATTTTCTTTCATATCTATCGCTAAAAAAAATTATCCAGAAAATAGATGTCTGTTTTCTATTGCTAGAAACCATTGTAAAAAAGTTTTATCTAATGCCAAAGCCCATTATTTCCAGGTCACAAAATATATTTGATCATAAAAACATATTTGATCTCAAAATTTATTTATTATTAAAATATTTTAATTTATTTAATTATTAAAATATATTTGATCATATAAAACATATTTGATCTCAAAATTTAGGCTCCAGTGACTTGTTGTGAATCTTTAACAGTATCTATAATAAGGGTTAATTTGTTATTCCATATCTTATGCATGGGTCAGATTTCGTTACCTCACCTGAAAACATAGCTGATTTGTTTGCTAAGAACTTTTCATCAATCTCATCTCTTGATTCCACTAATCACATTCTAACTAGTACAGATGACAAACACAAGTGTCTGTTTCTTTTCTACAGCTTGTGGATATCGTACCTGTTATAGTCTTGCATAAATATTTTGCAGCTGTGGTCTATACTTTCAAAACTAATTAACATGTGCTTATCAGAGTCTTGCTTTACAGTCTGCTAGAAACCAGCATATGTTATCCCTATTTTCAAAAATTCTGGAAAGCATTCTGACTTGTCTAACTACTGTCTTATTAGTCTTCTTACTGTCATAAGCAAAATTTTTGAGTCTTTGGTTAATAAACACTTAACATCTTATCTTGAATCTAATAACTTCCTTTCTAATCATTAATATAATTTTCAATATTCTCATTCTATGGCTGATTTGTTAATGCTAATAACTGATAAGTTTTATCTTCCAATTGATAGATGAGAGAGGCTAAGGCTATTGCTGTTGACATTGCTAAAGTATTTAACAAAGTTTGGCATGCTGGTCTTCTCCATAAGTTCTCTTCTTATGTCAGGTGTAATGGCTTACTCTCGGATAATACTAAAGGAAAGTAGTTGTTAAGATACTTTAGCCCTTTTATAGTATGTCCTGTTCTTGAGGATATATTAAGTTATGTATCAGTAGTAGTAACTTTTTGTTTAGATGGTTGGATAGGTATTGTTTTAGTTTATTGGTCATAAGAGATGCTATCCTTTATTGGATTCCCAAACAAATGCTGTAGGTTTGAAGCTACTTTGTTGATGTCATTTAATTCATTTTGTTTTCCATTCCCAGAATTGTGGCTGTTGTTACTAAAGACAATTTTGCCATTGTTTGAGCCATCGGACTGTTGTTGGACCGATTCTATTAATGGATTTATTATTTCTTGTAGTGGGGCAAGATCTTATGTCAAAACCGTATCAATTTTTCAATTTTGATGTTTGATATATGCGAAGTGGGAGGATAGTGTTTCTAATAGTTAAACTCTATAGTTTAACTATACTGTTTTTATAGTTGATAAGTGGATCTCCTTTTAATCGTATCTGACATCTGTTTAAAATTGTCAAATCCTGCTCTGTTTTTTAACCACAATTTAAAAGTAGTAAAGTTTGGTAGAACTGTACCTATTATTGATGATCGATGAAAGTTCATCATCCTCTAGTGGGGTGTTTTGTTAGCAGCAGTACACAGAAGTTCTCTTATAGAGGATAGAGCCATTTGCAACGCTACCTCCCTTATATCTTTTCCCAGACTCAATGTTTTCAGGGCCAGACTAACAACTTTAAGTATTGTTTTATTCATTTGTTCACATTGACCATTGGCTTGTGTGTGATATGAAGTAGTTTGAGTTTTGATGACACCGTTTCTTTCTAGAAATACTA